TCAGGGGATGTCATCTACAATGGAGAGTTGGGAGAGTGAGAGCAGACCAAAGGAAATATTTCTTGACCCAGCGTGTGGTTAGTCTGTGGAACCCCTTGCCACAGGATGTGGGGAAGGCATCTGGCATCCAGAGGCCTTGAAAAGGGGATGGGACAGATTCCTGGAGGAAAAGTCCATCACAGGTGACCAGCCCTGATGGGGATGCAGCATCTCCTGGCTTCAAAGGAAGGGATCTCCAAAGGCCAGATGCAGGGGAAGGGAGATCAGGAGACAGTTATACCTAGTTGTATCATGGGCTCCCAGATGCATCTGGTGGGGCCATGATGAGAGACAGGAAGCCGGACTCGAGGGGCCCTTGGCCTGATCCAGCAGGGCTTGTCTGAGGTTCTTGTGTTAAATGCTGGTGGGGCCACAATGAGATACAGGAAGCCGGACTCAATGGGCCCTTGGCCAGATCCAGCAGGGTCGTCTGAGGTTCTTGTGTTAAATAGAAACTCATGCATTTCCTTCCGTGCTGGGAGAATCTGTGAGTTCTCTAAAAAAATTGCTTTTCAACACTCTGAGCTAACCCAAAGAATTTTCCCCCAGTCCCTTGGGCTTTGAGGACCTTCCTGAAGAGATTAATGGAGGCGAACCAAGACCTTCTTTCCTCTTACAGTTTGGCTAGGGTGTCATCCATCTGTTCTCCAGAAGTGTTCAGAACTCCTTGAGTTTGTAGCCCGTGTCTGGATTTGTTCGCGAACGTCCCCTCCAGCGTGAAGCCATTCGGAAAGGTCAGCTTTCCCTGAAACCGTCCACAAAATATCAGAACATCAACCAGTTCTCTCTCTCTCTCTCTCTCTTAAATTATTTCAAATTTTGAGTCCTTTCAATCAAACATAGGAAGAAATTTGCAAATCTGGACAAAATTTGGCAACTGCGAATAAACAGAGTAAAACTGGCATCCACTCACCCCTGCCAGGTTTGGTGGGATCTGTTACTTCTACTACCGAGGAGACTCTGTTGAACATCCCCACCGTGGAAGTGTTCAACATAAGAAACATCTCTGGTTTTAAAAAAGACGAACCAGCAAGTCTAATATAGCAATAAAAACATAATGGAGCACTCAGATCCAATTTTTAAAATTGCTAAGCACTCCTTGAGTATATGGAAGCATATGCCTGTTTTCTTTTCTTTTACGTTGTTGTTTTTTTTAAAAACAACAACAACACACCTCCAATTTTTTCTTACCAAATTTATGATAAAATATGTCAATTTTGGGTGACGGATCTTAACAATAAACAGACCCGATGAAATTTTAATTCATTCCTAGCTAACATCAGAACTTGAAAAAGTTATCTTTAGGTCCTGCAGATGGCCATCTAGGCAGTTATGTGATTTGTGCTCTTAAAAAAATAACCTTTTCCAAGTTCTGGTTAAGAAATCAGTACTCAGAGAGCCACTTCAGTAAGAGTTTTAGAAGTATTCCAACAAGCAGCAGACCTTTGGGGATCTAATGGCTGGAAAAAAAAATGGATTCTGTCCAGCTGGATCCCTGGATCTTGGCGTTCTCCAGACACCAGGTCACACTCACCTTTCCGATAAAAGTCAAGTCTCTCGTGAAGTTCCCCTCATAGGCAGAATCGTCTTCTAGAAGAAGAATCCCAGACCCCTGGAGAAGTCATGAAAAAAATAAAAATGAAAAACAACGTGAAAAAAAATCTCTGTAAAATTCTGAGACTCTCCAACTTCTCTAAATGTGGGAGAGTTGCCTCAAACGGTTCAGGGAGAACTGATGCACGGCCATCTACAGACATGATGCAACTCACACAAAGTTGAGTAAATTTCAATTATTTTCTTTTGCATAAGAAACCATACAATGGAAAATAATATAACGATTGGTGAACAGATTTTAGATTGTGCTCCCCGTTGGGTGTGGCAACAATCACACCCTTCCAAATATATATTTGCAGCTATAAAGGCTAGAAACCTGCTCCTTGAAGAATGAGGAGGAAGTTGTGGTAGTTTGGCTGGTTCAAACCCCACCTCAGGCATAAACTCAACTCATCCCAACCTTTCTGTTATCCTCCTAATCTCTACCCATGATCTTCCACCTAGCCAGAGTACAATACGATCAAAATAACCATGCATTTTCGGTTATATAACCAAAATAACCATGTATATTTTTGTAACCCCTCCCTCCAAATCAACTTCCCCTGGCTGTGTGTCAGATCACATTCACAAATCACAATCCTGTTATGCCATTTTCCCTCCAGAGACACACTTCCTTTAAAGCTCTGTGCCTGAGTCATCTGACTTACAAAGGAAGCCCATGTTTATCTCTCCCTTGGATATAATCTGATGTATAGCATTCAATGATAACTATAATCTGATGGCAGTAATAGTTATGTACTTCTGATAAAAGCAAAGCATGCGACTTCAAGCAAAGCAAAGCATGCTTAAAGCACTCTCTGGTACTCAAGTTTACCAACCTCCGAAGGATGGAAGGCTGAGTAAACCTCGAGCCGGCTACCTGATCCTCTTGGGATCAAACTCAGGTCAAGAGCAGAGCATTCACTGCAGCACTGCAGTTTAACCCGTGCACCACGAGGCTCTTCATGTACGAGCATCATATACATCGATAGCACCATCTCAGATACAGGACTTACTTATGTACTTCTGATAAAAGCAAAGCATGCGACTTCAAGCAAAGCAAAGCATGCTTAAAGCACTCTCTGGTACTCAAGTTTACCAACCTCCGAAGGACGGAAGGTTGAGTAAACCTCAAGCTGGCTACCTGATCCTCTTGGGATCAAACTCAGGTCATGAGCAGAGTGTTCACTGCAGCACTGCAGTTTAACCCCCGCATCATGAGGCTCTTCATGTACAAGCATCATATACATAGATAGCACCATCTCAGATACAGGACTTACTGCAGCCATCAAATTATTGTTATAATCGAATCCTATCATTATCCTAGTGGAATATTTCTACAAGAAAATTGCAAGGATTGCTGATGTGATGGGTTTGGAACATTGAAAACACTAAACAAATGGTAGGCAAGATACTCAAGAGTCCCTCGCTAGGGATTCACAAACGTGAAGGTCCCTCGAAAGGATGGTGACTCACCACCATTTTGTCCAGGTGGAATTTCCTTCGGTAGCACACGCCAGACTGCATGACGACGACGCCAGCTCCGTGTCGCTGGTCTTCGTGCCACATCCCGATGTACCTCTCTCCCCTGAGACAGTGGAAGAGGAAGAGATGGGGTGGGTGAAATCACACTCATGGGGCCCTCCACCAAGGGGCCACAGCAGCCACCGAACACCTGGAGAAGGTCACACCTTGGTTGATGCCTTCAACAGCCAGCTGTTTCAACTAGATCTTGGAAAACTTCCTTGTGTGTGTGTGTGTGTGCCTGAAACAGCCTCAGTGAGATCCAAAAGAGAAGTTGTCTGCCCTTTCATCAAATAGATTTATTGTCATTTTAAGTATATACATAGTATACACATACTTCCCTGGAAAAGCCCCTGATGTTGGGAAAGTGTGAAGGCAAGAGGAGAAGGGGACGGCAGAGGATGAGATGGATAGAGATTGTCATCGAAGCCACCAACAGGAATTTGACCCAACTCCGGGTGGCAGTGGAAGACAGGAGGGCCTGACGTACTCTGGTCCGTGGGGTCATGAAGAGTTGGGCATGACTTAACAACAATACACAGACACCCAGATACCATACCCACACACACACACACACAAAATCCCCAAATGTTCCCCACCCACTAAAATACCCCCACTAAGAACACAAACATCTGCACCGCAGGCTAAGTAACCCTGTCCAACTGTTCACTGTCGGTGGTCTTTATTATAGCCAACCTTCTGCGCAACCTCAGGGATTCCCAGGAGTTTAAGCAAAGCAACCCTTCTTCTCTACCATCTGGCTGGCTTACCTCTCCTTGTCATCCCATATGCCATAACCACTCTTCTTATCGTTTTCCCAGTGCCCGGTGTATTTAAACAGGGGCTCGGTGGGGGAAAAGTTCTCCAAGATGCCAAAACCTTGTCGCACATTATCCTTGAAATATCCTTTGTAGACTGTCTCGTTGCCGTACCTGGAAAAAAGAGAGACACATACACCATCTCTCCTTCTCTCCCTCTCTCTTTTAAGACAATCGCTAATTTCTCCTTCAAACTGGAGGAATTTAAGGACAGTAAATATTAATCCAAGAGGATGGAGACAAATTCTTAGTATCCTTGCACAGAAATGTAATTTACACACACACACACATTTAATTCCATTTTCAATTACTTTTTTTAAAAAAACAAATAAAATATAACATAACATTTACATTCTATCCACACAAATTGCATACAAAAATAATAACACTAGACCTCAGTGCTCTCGTCACTCTGGGCACCATTATATCCAACATAACTTTTTTAATCTCCTTATACCATACTTTCAATCCATCATTTAATGGTCCCCGTATCCCTTCTAAAAATACATATAAACTCGGTTCAACTTTTTCCCTTTCCTCAATACAGCATTTATAAATTCATCCCATATATCATTAAATCTGTTTGTCTTTAACTGTCCTTTTTAAAAAACCTAATTTCTGAAGTCAATTTATCAGCAATTGCAATATTCTAAATGTCATTACACGGTTCATTGCAACTGGAAAGCCCAATTTTGCTTCCTTTATTTTTTTTTTCGCAAGAGCTGTCAAGCTGCTGTTTAATTCCAGTTTTTGAACTAGGGTTGTTCCACTTAATTCCTCCCATGTTCAGCCTCATGCAGAGTGACAGTCTGAGATTTACATAGGAAAGGCGTTTAACCCCACCCTCCCACCTAAAAGGCTCCCAGTGCTCATAATCCTGTCAAGGAAAAAAGAAATAGAAGGCTTACACCGCTGTTGAAGGCAATATATTTTAGGGATCACTTATTCATAGGGTCATAGAATCATGGAAAAGTGAAGTAGGAAGGTACCCTACAAGGTCATCAAGTCCACCCCCCTTGCTCATGGCACGAATACCATCAAAGCATATCTGCCAGGGGATGATCTAAATTTTTCTTGAATGCCTCCAGTGTTGGAGCGCTCACCAAATCTCGAGGTCATTGGTTCCGTTGTCGTACTGCTCTAACAGTTAGGAAATTTTTCCAGATATTCAGCCGAAATCTGGCTTCCTGTAGCTTGAACCCATTGTTGTGTCTCCTGCACTCTGGGACAAAGGAGAGCAGATCCTGCCTTTCCTCTGAAAGTCTTTGAAAAGTCTTCTCCTATCTCACTACAGGTTGATTTTGGCGCACATCCTGGCCTTGCTACCTATTATTCATCGAAGTACACAACACAAGGGGCCAGAAAGCAGAACGGGACAATTGCTCTAAAGCAACTACTTTGAAAGGCGGTGCTTACTCGCAGATCCCATAGCCGTTCATCCTGCCTTCCTGCCAATGGCACTTGTAACAGTCGTAGCGGTCCTCAGCGACGCGGGGGACGAGGCAGATTCCAAACCTGAAGCCAGAAACAAGAGAGATCTAAGAGAAAAACTCTGCAAGCAGTGGGGACGAAACAGGCCCACATTCTATCAGGTTTCATGGTCACTGTCATAGAATAATAGAAAAGTAAAGTTGGAAGGGGGCCTCTAAGGCCACAAAGTCCAACCCCCAGCTCAATGTAGGAATAGAAACCAAGTCAAAGGATCTCCGCCAGGTGGTTGTCTGAGTTTCTCTTGAATGCCTCCAGCGTTGGAGCACTCACCACCTCCCCCTGAGGTCATGCATCCCATTGTCATACTGCTCTAACAGTTAGGAAGTTTTTCCTGATATTCAGCTGAAACCTGGCTTCCTGTCACTTGAGCCCATGATTGTGTGCCCTGCACTCTGGGATGATCAAAATACAGATCTTGCCCCTCCTCTGTAGGACTAGGTAAAGGTTCCCCTTGACATTTAGTTGAGTCATGTCCGACTCTAGGACGTGGTGCTCATCCCCGTTTCCAAGCCGTAGAGCCAGCTTATATGATGAGCATCTTCTTTAAAAACCCTACTAGGGCTTATTTTCAGGTTAGGTCTTATTTTTGGGGAAACAGGGTACTTTATCACTAGCCCTAATTAAATGCCCATAAAAGTGTTGGTCCAACTGCGTGAGGATGGAGAGTAAGCGAGTCTTCATATCTGTGGCTGTTCTGGGGGGGGGGGGGCAATAGCTGAAATAAGAGACACATATGGGTTCTCCCCATGACTGGGGACACTAAAAATCAGGATTTCCTATAAGATGGAGAGGCTCCGCATGTCCGGAAGATTCCTCTTTCCAAACTCTTGTTTTCCACATGAGGAGAACAACAGCCCAAGGGAATAGCTGATGCTGCTATTCTATTCTTGCTGCGTTCAAATTTATCTTTTCTGAACACCCTGAAATGGCTACCAGGCATGGAGACAACCTGGAGACCCACAGCGATGATGCCGCTCTTTGAGGGATTGTTCTGTCAAAATGCATCATTTCTGCACACTGGGCTCTCACTTCAAAAAAAAAATCTCAACAAGGAAAGAAAGACAACGCCAACCACATTCCTTACCCATGTTCGAAGCCTTCCTTGAAGTCTCCAACATAATTCCGGCCATCCGGCCACGTTAGTTTCCCCCTGCAAAGTACAAAGACTGTTTGCAACACGACAGCATCCTTGGATTGTTACTTTTAAAAGTAATTTATTCCTCTTTCTCCCTGGTGTTTGATAAAGTAATACATGGCTGTTATTCATTACAATAGGGAAAAACACATTGAGTTATTTGAGTTATTTGAGTTATTTATTTTCTCACTGCTTTCGAGAGAGGGGGCACTTTGGCCCGCTAAAGGACAATATACAACCCCAAAAAAGCCGTGTCGACGTTCTTTGAAGGGCTCTGAAAATGAAACTTTTGAAAGTAAATAGAAAACAGTTCGTGCTACATCGCTAAAGTGACATAATTGCTACTTTTGAAATATAGCTTTGTTGAATCTCCCTTTGTTGAATCTCCCAAGCGGCTTGCTATGAACTACTATTTTAATGAGTTTTAATATGAAATAAGTAATATATTTCCAAACCCCAGATAAACAGAAGCATTTCTGTTGTACAGCTAGGTATTTCCACTTTTTTTTTTTAACAGAGGACCTTAGAAAGGTTACTGGAAGTACTATACTTCCTAGAATCCCCCAGGCCATGCCGGTTGTGGGATTCTGGGCACTGAAACAAGTTTTAAAAAGTAACTTTCCCTAGTGTTGTTTTTCAACTGCTGCAGAAGCTAGAAGGGGAGGAGAGGGCACCACAGTTTGCTGGGCTCCTTCGAGATGAAACCAGACGTTTGGCCATGCTCTCATCAAACTCATTTTCTTTAAAAGCATTCCAAAAAAGAGACGAAAGGGACAGCTCATCTGTCACAAGAAATGTGTATCCCCTGAGGTTGACCTGTTTCCCCTTCTATTATGCCATTTCTGCAAAGGCAAGCTTGCAAATTAGACCCCTGTTTACTTCCCAAAGACCCATCAGAACAGAAAGCATGCAAAAATTACAAGCTACAGAGGAGAAGAGGGAGCATGTGCTAGGACAGACACGTTTGCCATTTAAGGGAGCACTCCCTCTAAATACGGCTAAAGTTATCTCATACAACCTGACCCAAAGAAATGCCGTTAGATACTTACTGGCCATGGGGTTTCCCCAAACACCATTCTCCTTCGTAGGTGGCATTCTTGAATCTTCCCTCTCCCTTGAATGTGAACACGGAGAAGCGGCAGAGGGGCGGATCTTGGCCTTCGCCAGCCTCACCCCACAAGGGGAAGTCCCTCTTCCCGTTTAAGGCCTGGCGCACCGCTTGGTTCAGCTTCCACTCCCACACAGCCTGTGGGAGGGAAAAAGGAACAGAAGAGATGAAGGCACCTCGGACGTGGTTTTGAGGCCAGCAGAAGAGACAGCCGATCCCACAACTGTCCCCCATCCAGAGCTGCTTAACAATCCATGGCGAGGGGTGAAAGGGGATAAATTGTCTGTACGCCGTGTCTTTGATGTTTCTGGATAAAGAAGGGAAGCGTGAAAACCACATCGAAGCTCAAAAAGCAACTTTGAAAAACTTTTTATATTTTCAGGGCCTGAAAAATATTTCAGATACTAATGAAGTTAAACAAAAGAAGAAAAGTAATGCTTTACTCCTTCGTATATAAAAATATTGCAATTAGGAACTGTCATGAATGATATTGAGAAAAGATGGGACTTGTAGTCACATAAAAGCAGATGGAGTCTGTTAAGTTCTGTATGAGATGATACTTCAGGGCAATGGAATGTACGTAGGAGACTGTTTTCGCAGATTTATTCCCTGGGACAGAAGATGCCTGGGATAACGTTTTGTCTTTTTGAAACCAGAAGGAGGGGGGGTTATTAGCCCAGCTTAGAAGCAAGATGCTTACCTAGATTTAGTGTTTCTTATTTTAATAAGAAATAGCAGCTTTATTTAACCGTTGGAGTTTTGCGATAGGTCTTATGCTTAATGCCTTTTGCACAATAACTGTGTTCTAATGACTTTATTTTCTTAATAAAAACAAACATATTCCTCACTAAGGACTGGTCTCTTGAACAGCAGGATTCCCCTCTAAGTCCAGGGGTGATTTGTTAATAGGTCCTACTTTGCAGGGCTGTTGTGTTGTCTAAGGAAACACAAAATCAATGCTGAATTACTTGGAAAAGAAGCAAAGGTTTTCTTTTAAGGTCAGGCTCATCCATGGATGGGGCTTATGCTACACACTTCGAAGCAAAGGTTTTCTTTTAAGGTCAGGCTCGTCGATGGATGGGGCTTATGCTACACACTTCTGAGGCCTAAAGGACTGACCTCAGAGATAAAGGTGGTAGTTCTGCTCTCACAGTGACTCCCTTTCCAAACCTCATACTCTCTTTACGGAGGGTTGAGTGTTACAGTAACTTATACTTACTTTTTTAAAAAAAATGCTATATACACCTGTCTGTGTTGCATAAGATACTCCTTCTATCTACCTTGTTATTGTCTCAAAATACACACCAGAGGTATGTCCATTTGTGCTTTGGGACTACAGCACCCAGAATTCCCTAGGCACCCTGAGGAATTCTGGGAACTGTAGTAAAAAAAATCACAAATCGACACACCTCTACAATCCAGCACTTGAACCAACAGATCATCCTCCTCCTCTAACATTTAGTGAGGCCACCACCTCCCGTAACTAGAAGAGAGACAAAATAATGCCATGGTCTGTTATAAGGAGGTGATTCTGAGAGAACTACAGCTGGTTATACTATTGCCATTTTTAGAAGGAACCAACTGTAAGCCACTACTCAGTGGTTTCAGTCTCTGGCTGTGGAGCCAGAGGGTGGGAGTTCGAATCCTCCATGGTTCTACAGCTGGTTATACTATTGCCATTTTTATAAGGAACCAACTGTAAGCTACTACTCAGTGGTTTCAATCTGGCTGTGGAGACAGAGGGTGGGAGTTCGAATCCTCCATGGTTCTGCCTCCTGTGAGTAGAGCCAGCCTGGGTGGCCTTGGGCAAGCTGCACCGTTCCAGGGTGCCCCCTAGAGGAAGCAAATAGTGTTACATCTCTGAGTCTACCTGGAAAACTCTGGAAAGAGCCACCTTAAGTCAGAACTGACTCGAGAGCATATGAGGATGATGGTTAGTTCCTTCCAAGTGCCAAAGTGCTGAAGCCCTACTCATTGCCTGGCCTCCTGATGGTATTCTCTCACACTCATTTTAGGAAAAAATTTCCAACTCAGAAGCAAACATCTAAACATCTAAAGGATAGACAGGTTACTGAGAACCTCTGAGAAACTGTGGACCACAGTACCCATTCGCCCCCACCAGCATCGAGGGGAATGACCGGGGCAGGCATCCCACCATGTCTGGAGGGCGTAAGGTTTCCTACAGAGAGGAGGGGAGGAGGGGCGGGTGGGAAGAGGGCAGAAGGCAACACGTCTCCCCAACATAGAACGGCGGGATAGCTCCGTGGTTTACGTCTCTGGCTGCAGAGCCAGAGGTAGGGAGTTCAATTCCCCCCATCTGTGCCGCCCTGACAGGGGCTGGACTGGATGATCCATAGGGTCCCTTCCAGCTCTGCAGTTCTAAGATGATGAAGATCTACCCACTTTGGATGTAAATCCAACCACACCCCTAGCTTTACTTGCAGAGGACAAAAATACAGCCGCCTTCGTCAATACGGGCCGCCTCTTACCCGAGTTTCTGGCTTTTTGGCCAAGAGGAAGAACTGTTCTTCCGGGGTGCGAATGTGGATGGTATTCCTGGGAGAAAGAACAAACGGGAAGAGCATGTCAGGAAAAAAAACGGTAAAGGTAAAGGTTGTCCTTGACATTTAGTCCAGTCCTCTCCGACTCTAGGGCACGGTGCTCATCCCTGTCTCCAAGCCGTAGAGCCAGCGTTTGTCCATAGACAGTTTCCGTGGTCACATGGCCGGCAAGACTATACACGGAACGCTGTTACCTTCCCACCGAGGTGGTCCCTATCTATCAACTCTCATTTTTACATGCTGTCGAACTGCTAGGTTGGCAGGAGCTCGGACAAGCGACGGGAGCTCACTCCGTCGCGTGGATTCGATCTTGTGATGGCTGGCCTTCTGACCTTGCAGCCCAGAGGCTTCTGTTTCTTAGCCCGCAGCGCAACCCCCCCCCCAAAAGCAGCCTGTCCCCACCCAGCCATGCAGGAAAGCCACAGGGTAGCTTCTGCGGTTTAACCCGCAGCGCACCCCCCAACAAAAGCAGCCTGTCTCCACCCAGCCATGCAGAAAAGCCACAGGGGCACAGCCGTGAAGAATGTTAGTCTGGGGCTTTCGAAATCCGGGTTCAAATACTACTCTGCTTGGCCATGAAACTCAATGGGGGAACTCTGAGAGGCGGCTCTTTGCCAAATGGACTACCTTACAGGGGTATGGTGAGGCTAAAGCTGGGGAAAGGAGAACAATGCCCGCTAAGAAGAAGGCGAGACAGAACTGGAACAGACAGACCAAGCATGAGACATATTCTGCACTCCTTCTGGGGTGGACTCCCCTAATGTCTTCTTTACTGGGTTTCAGCCTTCCCTCTTGGCAACAGGCCGTTAAGAATATTCCTACATCCCAACCTGGTGTGCATTAGCAAGGTGAGAGAGATGACAAGAGTTTGGGAAATCTGGGCCATGCCACATAAAGAGCCATAAAAGAGATTTTACTGACCTTCCCGTTTCCCGAGAGGTTGCGTCCACCCACACGAGCTTCAGATCAAAACTCTGAAAGTTGTTCCCCTAGAAAGAAGGATTCAATACAATTAAAAAAAGAAACAAGAACAAAAATTCTTATAGCTCTGGCCATAACATATAGCATCTCTTCCCCACTTCTCCCCTGTCTGCCCCCATTTCTAGCATCCTCTGGATGGTCGTGGGATAATCTGTAAATCCATCGTTGGCTTGTTTTGGCCTTCATCTTATGGGGAGCAGAATGATGATCCTTTAGGACTTTATGCCCTATGGAACAGTGTGGATATCCCTGGGGGGGCACCCCATACTCCTGCTTGCTTTCTCTACAATTCGTCTACATCCCTGTATCATCATAATTTTCAACCAATTTTATATCATTAAAGAGGCTTTATTCCTAACTAAGCAATCTGAGAGTTTGGTGGCATAAAGTCCTTATGATGCCACACCTTGAAATACATTTTCTCTCCCATTGGCCTGTCTTTCGCCGTACTATTATTTATTCATTTAAAATATTGTTATCCTGCCTTTCTCCATGAAAAGGACCCAAGAGGACTTCCTGGAAGCTGCCTGCCTCAGCCATCAGACTTAAAAATTCGGCCCATGTTCACCTTACACTGAGCCACGGAGGCACGCTAAACACAAGATACGGAGGTGATGTTTTTTTAAAAAATCACATGCTGCAAGGAATGCATGGGTTTCACCACTGGGGGGAGCACTTCTGGGGGAAAAATGACACTAAGTAACTGGGGAAAAACACTTGACACTAAAGTATCTCAAAAGCAGAGGATGAACCATCATTCCCTTGATTTCCAATGTTCAAACTGTACGGGGTGTTGCATGTGTGACCTAAATGCAACACCTACATGCCAAGATGGAGGTCTGAGTAGCCTCGGGGGAACCTTAAGATTTATAAAAGTACCTCCTCCCCCAAAAAAAGACAGGCAAGGGACAGAGAGGTAGCCCATAACACAACTTGATGGGTGCTGCAATGTGCATTCTCAGCAGTTACTCAATCTGGACTCAATCCTACCCAAGAGGGTAGGATTTTCACATTTCTCTGAACTACAATCTCCAATTTGGGAGTCCTACATTCCTTACAGACACCAAAATGTGGCTTTCCTGACAGAACAGGACTTAACTGGACGGCTTCATGCCTTAGCTACATTCCTTACAGACACCAAAATGTGGCTTCCCTGACAGAACAGGACTTAACTGGAAGGCTTCATGCCTTAGCTAGACCTAGCCTCCACCCTAGCTTCCTGTTCCTGCCCCAGGGTTAGCTGGGAAGTTTCTTTCTATGCAGGAAGCTTGGGAAGAGCTAGGCCGAGCTGAGCCTCGAAGTCTCATCAACGTCTCTGGGCTCGGTCGGTGCCCTTCAATATTTTTTATTAGTGACTTGGATGACGGAGTGCAGGGGATGTTTGTCAGATTAGCAGATGATACCAAATTGGGTGGAATACATAACACCCTAGAAGACAGAAACAAGACTCAAAAAGACCTTGATAAGATGGAGCCCTGGGCCGAAAAACAACAGAATGAAATTCAACAGGGAGAAGTGCAAAGTCCTGCTCCTCGGAAAAAGAAACCAATTGCACAGTTGCAAGATGTGGGTGACGGAGCGCAGGGAATGCTTGTCAGATTAGCAGATGATACCAAATTGGGTGGAATACATAACACCCTAGAAGACAGAAACAAGACTCAAAGGCTAACACTATTTTAGGCCAATAGGGTGATGTGGCTGCAAAAAAGGCTAACACTATTTTAAGATGCATTAATGGAATTATAGTTTCCAAATCCCACGAGGTGCTAGTCCCTCTCTATTCAGCACTGGTTAAGCCTCGCCTTGAGGACTGCCACGAGGTGCTAGTCCCTCTCTATTCATCAATGGTTAAGCCTCGCCTTGAGGACTGCGTCCAGTTCTGGACATCACACTTCAAGAAGGACGCTGACAAATTGGAACAAGTTCAGAGGAGGATGACAAGGATGATCGGGCTGGAAACTAAGCCTTATGAGGAAATGCTGAAAGAACTGGGCATGTTTAGTCTTGAGAAAAGAAGACTGAGGGGTGATAGGATAGCACTTTTCAAATACTCGAAAGGCTGTCATACAGAAGAGGGGCAAGATCTGTTCTCCTTCGTCCCAGAGTGCAGGACACGCAACAATGGGTTCAAGTTACAGGAAGCCAGATTTCGGTTGAATCTCAGGAAAAACTTTCTAACTGTTAGAGCAGTACAACAGTGGAACCTCAAGGGGAGGGGGTGAGTGCTCCAACACTGGAGGTAGTCAAGAACAACTCAGATCATCACCTGGCAGATACGCTTTGATTTGTTTTCCTGCCTTGAGCAGGGGGTTGGACTGGATGACCTTGTGAGCCCCTTCCAACTTCACTTTTCTTTGATTCTATGAGTCCGCCAATTGAGGCCTTTTTTCCGCCCAGGTGAGCCACATTTAGGGGTCTCAAAGATGTCTTCCAAGCCGGCAGAACTCCGAGAACTGAGAAGAACAGTATTTATAACCCAGAAAACCCCAAACTCCCATCCCTAACTGATGGGTTGACCAGGGCTCCTCCACGTGGCAACCTTTCCTTGCAAACCCTCCACTTGTGCAATGTCACTCACCCTAAGTCGCTCTGGCTTTCTCACCTGGAGGAGCAGCAGGACGTCATTGAAAAGCAGGATGCGGTCCGATCTCCCGGTGTTGGTGAAGACGACCAGATTCTGGCTGTCTTCCAGCAGCCTCCTCTCAGGGACGCAGAGGACATCCTGCACCGCGAAAAGGGCCATGTTTCATCCATCACTGAATTCTTTGGGTTTAGCAGAGTCCAGGGAGTGACCCCACAGAGGTCATCCTGACGTTGCCAAGCACACCGCCATCCTCTGACTCTCCTGATGAAAGCCTCGGCAGCTGGCCCTCCAAAACCAAGCACACCGCCATCCTCTGACTCTCCTGGTGAAAGCTTCGGCAAAGGGGTGGGGAGCCTGTGGCCCTCCAGATAATACTGGCCTGCAACCTCCATCACCCTTAACTGGCCTCGCTTACAGCCCCATCGTATCTGATGGGCCAGAGATTTCCCCCTCCTTGTTATAAAGCAGGAGTTGGAAACACCAAGGCCACACCCAGCCTCCGAGACCCTCAGGGGGGACTCCAACACTCGCAAACCAACCCTAACCCTAACCCCAACATCCTCAAAACAGAGCATTTAAATAATAATTTAGAAAGATTGCTCATCGCCTGGTGAGGGCTAAACAGGGCCACCAGGTCAGGTGAAGGTCTGGTATGCCATTTGATGTGATCCTTGCATCCAAATGGAATACTTACTCCAACCAACCCTGTTTAGTCCAATTCTCTGTTGAAAACAACAAAAGGGAATGAAATATTCCCTTCCTTACCTTGTCCTCGCCTCTAGGAGAAAGTTTTCAATTTTAATTCCCCACACACACACACAAGTGATGTCGTGCATTAGCACTGTCCTAATACAGTTTAAAACAAACTTTACTTCCTCGGCCTGGCCTAATACAGTTTAAAACAAACGTTACTTCCTCGGCCCCTCCACAGAGCAAGGGACGGGTTTAATTCCCCAATATCATGAAGTGGCTAAGCTGTCTTCTTAAGCCGCTTAACAATATTGGGAAATTGAAAGAGGAAGGCAAACGGACACATCCAAAAAGGTGTGGCTAGGAATGCTCTGGAGACAATCTGGTTCACACCAGCATTTATGTCACGTGAGCACTGGAGAAAGGAGTCGCATTGGAGCAAACGGCAGGAGAAATGCCCCTCGGACTGCACTCTAAAAAACATTAAAAAGATGGCAAAGTTCCTCATCTTAAAGGGATCAAGGGGGCTTTTCATGTCAACACAAACGGGAGCGCCAGGTTTAGCCCCTTCAAGTCCACCTCTTCCAAGCTGGGAACTGTTCGAAAGCGACTCGATCACACACCACGAACTTGTGGCCCAGGGACTTCCACAGGGATCTGGTCAGGCAGGCCTCATCCAGGGCTTGACTCACGAAGGAGCGCAACTTCGCAACCTGGTGAGCAGCGTTGGCCGCGGCTTCTTTCTCTGGACCCTGTCGGGAGAAAAGCCAACACTTTGCGGTGAACGGCTGCCTCCGCCTCCTCCTCCTCTGAAGGGATGGGAAATGGGCTAAAACCGACCCTTCGGCTTCCGAGCGGCCCAGGCCATCGGCGCGTGCTCTTGATGCAGAGGCGCCCTTCGGGTTTACAGAGTGAGACTCCGCTTCACGGACCTGGCCGCTCAAAAGCACAGTCTTTTCATGGCGGCTGCAAACTAAGAGTGAGTCAGGATGGAGGTGCCCAGGCTGTGCCAAAGGAGCCGACCTGCATGCAGGATACAGTTCGAGGTGAAGTGGAGATTTACTCTGCAAAGTACTTTGGAAGGTCCTGGGTTCTATCCCCACCTGCAACCCTTGGTGGGCTAGTTTTTGCCAGTCCCAGCCTGGCATCGGCCACCTGGCCGTACCTGCTGGCATGAAACGTCAGGGACAGCTTATGGACCACGTGCCGTGGCATAGACACAAAGCTCCACCCCTGCGGTGCGGTGCTCCCTTGACAGCAGGGACTCTGGATCTGGGACCTTCATGGCCCATATCCGTTCTCCTCTTATCTATCATTTTTGGCCCGTTCCAGGCTTAACCCTGGTACGACAACAAAAGAGATGCATCGCACCAGCCTGTCCGGCCAAGGGTCTATTGAACCGGAAAAAAAAGATAACCCAACTGTGATGTTCAGAGCTTAGAAAAGCTACTTTTTTGGGACATACAGCTCCAGGTTGGACTGGATCCTAGTGGGCAGACCGAGATGCAGGTAGGTCTAGCTCTGCTTTGGAATTTCCCATGATGCACCTGAACATCACCTTGGGGGCCTTGTGGGAAACCCAAGTCCTCGTGAGGTTCAGTAGCTGCGCTGTCCTTGGACTCTCAGCCCAGGGGGAAAGCAGTGGAAGGAGAGAGAGGATGCGTCAGCAGTGGCCCGAAACAAATCCAGAGCCTAGGGATGGCAAATTTTATTATGGAGGCCAAAATCCTCACATCCAGCATGCCTCCGGAAAAGCAAAATTTTAAAGCAATGACACAACAGGAAGGAAGGAAGGAAGGAAGGAAGGAAGGAAGGAAGGAAGGACTACAGGTCAAAAGGTTTCGAGAGCCACCCCATTCACAATTTAGGAAGTTCTGAGAAAAAATACTTCTCTTTTCCAGAGCTAGCACATCTTTTAGCACAGACACATCCAACTCAAAGCAGGAGATCATTCGATTCAGTAAAGTTTTGGAAGGAATATATATATGTACAAACATAAATCCTTCCGGACTCTTGCTTTCTAGGGCAATTTAGACAGCAGTGGTTCTCAACCTTAGACAACCAGGTCTTCTTGGAGGGCAACTCCCAGAAACTCCGGCCATGGTGAAGGCTTCCGGGAGCTGTCGTCCAACAACGTCTAGGGAGGATTCAAGGTTGGAAACTACGGGTACACAGAGAGGTCAGGTAGGGGATGAGAACTAATACCTGATCCACCGTTTCCTTCCACTTGGAGAGCACCAGGCTGTATTGCTGGAGGTGATCCTGGAACGGTTTCTGAAGCACCGTATGGAGAGCCACCGTGATGGAGGTGTCCAAGGAGAAATCCTGAAGAAATTGCTGGAGTGAAGGCTTGTGCAGTTTCCAGATCTCACTGCCAGGGGATGCAAAGCACGAGACAAACGAGTTACTGTCAGGAAGCTACAGAAGGGATGCAATTATCGTATTTTTCCACGTATAAGACTATACTTTTGTCTATAATCTTTAGACTAAAAATTGAGGCTCATCTTATACACGGAAGTAAGCTGAGGAGAGAACAAAAACAAGTGAAGGGAAAAGCAGGGATAGATCTCACTGCCAGGGGATGCAAAGCACGAGACAAACGAGTTACTGTCAGGAAGCTACAGAAGGGATGCAATTATCGTATTTTTCCACGTATAAGACTATACTTTTGTCTATAATCTTTAGACTAAAAATTGAGGCTCATCTTATACACGGAAGTAAGCTGAGGAGAGAACAAAAACAAGTGAAGGGAAAAGCAGGGATCAAAGCGATCCTGCAGCACTTTGATCCCTTTCCCCCTACACTTGCTAAGCCCCACTTAGATTTCTTAATTTTGGATTAGAAAAGTGGGGGGCATCTTATACATGGGGGCGTCCTATACATGGAAAAATACAGTACTTGCCACTCTGAGGGTCCTCGGAGCTCACTGAAGTCAACCTTCCACTCAAGGGCCGTGGCACCCATGATGGATGGCAACTGGGTCTCTGATTAAAGAACTCCTGCTAAGGAAAGCTCACAACTTTCTGGCACCTTTTGTTCCACCGTTGAGCAATCTTTCCTCCGAGGAAGTGTCTCCTAAAGCTGGGGTGGGTAAGATGAGGGCCCCAGGCTCAAGACATTCCCTTACGCCTTCTAGGGGGTATGAGGAACATCCTGTGAGCGGCCTCCCTGTGACCTCCATTTTTCCCCAGTTTCAAAGAAATGTATCAGCTATCCCTAGAAGGTGCAAGGAGGCATTTGAGTAACCTCCTCAACCTCTATTGTGAAAAAAAAAACTGGGGTGGGAGGTGGACATCATGGGAATAAGTATGGCTCCAGCAAAGAGCATGTTCAAAGACTTCTAGGAGGTGCTTTCTGGCAGTCTAGCCAGTATCTGCTTCCTTGCCTTAGCCTCTCATTGTTTTGACTCCTGCCTTCTTGAACAACGCAGAACAAATCTGTTCCTTCCATGGAGCAGCCCTTCAAATGCTGAAGACAACTCTCATGTCCTTCTCCCAAGCTGGTTTTCCTCCCCTCCAGGCTAAATGTGCTCAGCTTCAAAAGACAGAGGGGAGATAGGACAGCCCTTTTCAAAGTCTTGAGAGGGAGTCCTACAGAGGAGGAGCAGGATCTGTTCTCAATCATCCCAGAGTGCAGGACACGCAACCATGGGCTCAAGTTAAAGGAAGCCAGATTTTGGTTGACTATCAGGAAAAACTTTCTAACTGTTAGAGTAGTACGACAACGGAACCCATGACCTCAGGGGGAGGTGGTGAACACTCCAACGCTGGAAGCATTCAAGAGAAAATTGGACAACCCTCTATCAAACCTGCTTTAATTTGGATTCCTGTACTGATCAGGGGGTTGGCCTTGATGGCCTTATTGGCCCCTTCCATGTTCATTATTCTATGATTCAACGACTTCTCATAGACTAGGTTCCACGCCCTTGTGCAGAACAAATGTTATATAGATTAACTACCTCCCTATGAGCCTAGCTTTCCTCCATCCTCTTTCTTGCCTCCTTCTGCAACCACACACTAGATTGGTTATTCCTTGGGGTGGGGAACCTCCTCTCCCTCCAACCCACCGACCTATATCAGCACTTATAATAATTATATGTCATCAAGCGGATTCCAGCTCTCCCAGACTTTCCTCCCAGTGGCCTTCTGGAACCACACAACTTGCCATACTTCCAAGCAAGAACAATAGAAGGGGTGGCCTTCCTTTCCCTCCCCTCCCCCCATCAAGGTATTTGCAATTTGTGCAATTGATCATTTGTCCAAAACCGAGCATTCCATTAGAGAACTGAAGCTAAGAAAGAGCAGCCTTCCTGTGGCCACCTAACAAATTAAGGACTGTTGTCACATTCAAACGCATGGCTTTCTGGGTCTATAGTTCAATTTCTTGCTTACTCTGTTGTCTCTCCTTGAACGCGTCACTCACCTTTTATTCCTAGCTGCATGGTCAAAGCCTTGGACTACCACGCAACTGGCAAATGTGGAAAAGTACCTGTTTGTTTTAAAAACACACACACACACAAACACAAATATACATTAGGTTGCATGTCTACGTTCTACTGGATTTAAGTTACATTAGAAAATATTTGCTGCCTTTTTATGGAAAGCCAAAGGCTAGCACTGGTTGAAGTTGGCGAAGTGGGGAACCCCCATCTCCTAGGACATTTGGGTTGCCCTTTTACTACTCACTGGATGTAAGTGTCACAAAACAAGTCAGTTTTCCTGATTAGGTAGACGTCACGGGCGCTGGCGGATTCAGAGACGTCCAATGTTTCCTTCAGCCTTCTGTGGTTCTCCTCTGTCAAGTCCCAGATGGCTTGAAAGTGGTCGTTCAGTTGGAAGAAGAGTTTTGCATTTTCAAAGGAACCTTAGAGGCCGAAAGAATCCAAAATGAGAGAGAAAAATAGATGAGATTTTCCAGCTTGAACATGGACTTCCTTAAACAATAAATAGAGAACGCACTCAGGATTTCCTCCCCCTCCCCCTTTTCTGGTTGCCAAAAGATAAGGAGATATTTTTTCCATCCATCTCAGAGAGATTTTGCACATTCTCAAGACTGATATATGTTTTTTGCGTCTTTCAAATTTGAAATGGGGACAATTCCTATCTTGCTGCAAAGTTTATGGGGAAAACAGAAGCCCTGAATAGGTTGTCTGCATCCTTTTAATCAAGGTACCTGTCTTTTTTCTGCTTGCTGTGTGCACATGCTCAGTTAGACCAGTGGTTCTTAACCTTTGTTACTTGGATGTTTTTGAACTGCAAATCCCAGAAACCACAGCCAGCACAGTTGGTGGTGAAGGCTTCTGGGAGTTGCAGTCCAAAACTCCTGAGTAACCCAAGGTTAAGAACCAGTGAGTTAGACAATGAGATGAAGTACTAGTTCCAAGTGAAGCCATTCTGCACAAATGTCGGGAAACACCAGCTTTAGAAAGAGTGCATTTGGTTGTCTTGATCACACACGGGGAGGCCAATACCTCTGTTGGACCAGAAAGCAAGGTTTTCCCCCCATTTATCCAGGTCCAGATAAGAGTGTTTCTTTTATAAAGCGAGTTAACAAAAACACTGTCATCTTTGGTGGATCTCTCAGAAATGACTTTCTGGCTTGGGACACCCATGGGGGCCACACAGACCATCAAAAATGGGGGCGATCAAAGAGCAGCAAAAAATGAAACTAAAATTGGTTAGAAGTCCATTTCTGGGTGGGTGGGTTGGTTGGTTGGTTGGTTGGTTGGTTGGTTGGTTGGTTGATTGGTTGGTTCGTTGGTTCATTGGTTGGTTGGTTCATTGGTTCGTTCGTTGGTCCTTTGGTCCTTTGGTCCGTTGGTTGGTTTCAAAAGATGAGTATTTTGGATGCAATATTGTACGGAAAACCATTGTGATCTATTCAAAACAGGAAACCTGAATGCTTCCAAGAATCACAATTTACTTCATTTTCCAGAGAAAGGCAGCACCCTGATTTTCAGCTTTTTCCAACTTGACACCTCCCAGACGAGCTAGACTACAACTTCCATTCGCAAGTCACATGGGCACACACTTTCGCCACTGTGGGAAAGTATGCTATTATTCCCGTCCGAAATATGGCAGTTATTTCTGAACAAATGCAAAACTCTGCAAATGAGCATTTACAAAATGTATGTAAATCACTACCGTATCTCCTCCCATCTTTCAGTGACCCCTTTCCTTTTTGGGGGTGAGGTACACATGGCCCCCATACACACTCGTTTCACTTGGTAGCGTGTTGTTAACTGTGGTTCAAGCCAACCAAGTTTCAACCAGCATTTGTTTTTGTTTTTTAAAGCAAGGAGAGAAATGGCATTGACCCCTTTCCTTTTTGGGGGTGAGGTACACATGGCCCCCATACACACTCGTTTCACTTGGTAGCGTGTTGTTAACTGTGGTTCAAGCCAACCAAGTTTCAACCAGCATTTGTTTTTGTTTTTTAAAGCAAGGAGAGAAATGGCATTGGTAATTTAGGTCAGCTTCAGAGCCCCACAAATTCCTCAACCCCCCCCCCCAAGAAATGTTATAGATGTCTTGGAAGACAGAGACAAAACTGGAAAAGTACCAATGCAGATTTGAACAACAGGAACTGAATTATAGCGTCATAAAATAGTGGAGTTGTGAGGGGCCAATAAGGAGGAATCCAATTCAAAGCCGATCTGACAGATGGCCGTCTAATTTTCTCCAGAATGCCTGCACCGTTGGAGCACTCACCACCTCCTAAGGTCATTGGTTCCATTGCTGTACTGCTCTAACAGTTAGGAAGTTTTTCCTGATATTCACCCTCAATCTGTCTTCCTGTAGCTTGAGCCCATTGTTACATGTCATGCATTCTGGGATGATCAAGAACAGATCCTGCCCCTCCTCTGGATGACCACCTATCAAATATTTGAAAAGTGCTATCCTATCACCCTTCAGTCTTCTTTTCTCAAGGCTAAACATGCCCAGTTCTTTCAGCCTTTCCTCATAACGCTTGGTTTCCATTCCCCCCCGATCCTCCTTGTTGCCCTCCGCTGAACTTGTTCCAGTTTGTCATCATCCTTCTTGAAGTAAGGTGTCCAGAACTGGATACAGGACTCAGAAGGAGGCCTAACCAGTCCTGAATAGAGAGGGGAGACTAGTACCTTGCAGGATTTGAAAGATGCTGTCTTTTAACATTCCCAACTTTCCCCCCGAAAAGCAGAAGGAAGGATAATCCTTTTCCATGAAGAGCGTGTCATCAACTAAATAGGAACACTAGGAGAGAGGCAAATGTATGGTTTAAAGACCACGAAGTCGGCTCCTCCACCGCCCATTCTTACCTGCTCGCAAGAGGGGCTTGAAGATAACGGCATTGATCCGGCCAAGGCACGCAGAGAAGGTCTCTTCTAACCTGAGCAGCGAGGAAGCCACGTCTGGGACGCTCATGTCCTGTTAAGCCAAGAGAAAGGAGGGCAAAAGGGAAGAGCCAGAATTAGACCCGAACTACGATTCCCAGCCTCCAGCTTGATCTTTCTGAATCCAGGTTCAAATCCCAGTGGCCACCAACCAGGTTATTCTTCCTTAGAGCTTGGAAATGCTATTTTTGCAAGCCAACTATTCCCAGAGTTTCCCCCAACACACGGCTCTCAAAAGATACGGTTCAATAAGTAACCTTTCTGAAGCCCCAGCCTGTACCATGGCCGATGCCATCAAGTTGATGATGGCGACTCTTTCTAGGGTGCTCTAGGTCCAGAATCCTCACAAGTGGTCTTCCAGTTCCTTCTCCTGGGGGGGTGCTGTGGTGCAGTTTGCCCAACGTCCCCCAGGCTGGCTCTTCTCCCTGGACGCACTACGACCAGGCTGGCTCTTCTCCCTGGAGGCACGGCGGGGATTCGAACCCCCAGGCTCTAGAGACCTCAACCCCCTGCGTTATCCAGCCAACAAAACCATGGTTAGCATATGTATCCATGCACATCACGGCACATATTACAATGTAACATCCCTGAACCATGGGTTCAGGAAAGAGGGAATTCACACCAAAGGAGACAACGATGACAGGGACAGGGGGAAACAGGAGAAGACCCCGAAGGTGGGGAGAAAAATATGTTCCAGGACCAGCATCAATGGATTCTGCTCATGACTTAGACTATACAGTAGTGGCTCAAACCAGGTCTACAACCAGCCCTGGTTGGTAGCCAGCCACCTTGACACAACATTGGCTGTTCAGGCAATGAAGATCTATGCTGAGAAGAAATTAAGAACTGAGATCCCATATCTAGATGGAGACTTGTGATCAAGGGTTCCCAAAGTTGGGTCACTAGAACTCCCAGAAACCTTCACCCCCAGCTGTGTTGGCCAGGATTTCTGGGAGTTGTAGTCCAAGAACATCTGGGGACCCCAGGCTGGGAAATTTTAGATGTTGGTGGCTGTGATAGCTGCCGCCTTGGGTCTCAGACTACCGAAGATGCTCTTTCTTAGCTCCTCCAGGCCAGAAGGAAGCCTTTATTTGGCCCAGGACATATTTGATGGCAAGCACGCACTGCCGTTGCTGTAAGGATTTTAATGACTTTTTCAATACTCATTTTTTAAGGGGGGAAAGCACGTGGTCCAGGAAGAAGGGTTCATCAGACAGTCAAGAGGAAGCCTGGGTCATCATCAGCCGTAGGTGATTCATCAGCGCTGGTTTTCCCTCTTCTGCTATTTACAGTATATTGGGAAGTTCTTTGTGATGACAGAAGCCACATCTAATTGGGTTTTAACTCTATTTATAAGAGATTCAGGACAACGCGACAGGAAAGCCACAGAGATGCCATTTCCTCATCCATCTTCAGACATAACTGCTATGCAATCTACTTTTGTGTCACAGTTAGGGGGGGGGAATGCAACAGGCAGAAGATGATTGTCTCTTCGTAAAGGGGTAAAAATTGTTCACCTGGTGTTAAGAGGGCAAATGGATCTATCAGAAGAAAGCCAAAACCAACCCCCAAGGGTGGCAACCCTATTAAAGTCTCCTATCAGCCGGGCCGCAGGAAGATAAATACAGCCAAACATGACACAACAGGAAATACACATGTCATTTTCCACAGTGTGACTAAGTACGTACTAATAATCGCTTTCACAAAAGAGGGAATTCACAGCCAAACCCCTACTATTTACTTATTTATTTGTTTTCACCCAAAAGTGTTCTGGCTGTCTTTTACGACAGGCTTCACCCAAAGTGGTTTGCCTACAAGAAGGTAAGAACAGCTCAAAACCACAACCCTCTTGTCCCAGCAAAACGCCGTCGTTTAAAACAACTGGATCCCAAACTTGGAATGCACTCAAAAGTCATTTAAAAAATCTGGAAAGAAAAAGGAAAAAAAAGCACAAACATTTAAACCACAGCAGCAACATAAACCATCCAAACTCAGAACTCCAGTTCAGCAGCACAAGTACAAAAGCTGCAAAAAATGTGCTGATTTTGAAGGATGGGAGTGAAATATTGAGATAAACATAAGTCCCTTGGCAGGGAGTTCCACAGACACAATTTAGAAAATAAGGACCGCTTTAGGAATTAAACATCAGTAAAGCCTCTTGACCAGGGATGGAAGGAATAATCAATATATTTCTCATTCTCATTAATTCTGGGTCTCTAAACATGATGAGGCACCTCCATAGGGAATTTTAAAGTCCCATGAGATTCCTTGTCTGCAACAAAAATGTGATTCAATCCAAATTGTATGTGTTCCCTACTATGACATTTTCCCTCCAGGCAGGAAGTTTTAAGGCTCTCCTCGCTACACTTGGCTTTTGCTTCTTTATTTTTCTTTTTCTGGCTTGTTTTGCTTTTAAAAGGCCATGACATGGTAAAAGAGGACGTGCAACCTTAATACAGCTTGGTTTTGGATAACCCACAAGAAACTGACCACTTCTGTTCAACGTGTAGACCGGTTCCCACGAATTTAAAACGTAAAAGGCTAAACAGACACAATCAATTATAACATTAAACACAATTTCTAAAGTTGTCATATTAAGACTACTCAATACTACGAGCGAGAAGGATCTTGTCGTAAATCACAAGCTAAATACTGTATCAGCCAACAGTGTGATGTGGCTACAAAAAAGGCCAATACTATTTCAGGCTGCGTTAACCGAAGTACAGTTTCCAAATCCCACGAGGTGCTAGTCCCCCTCTATTTAGCACTGGTTAGGTCTCACCTTGAGTCTTGTGCCCAGTTCTGGATATCAGACTTCAAGAAAGATACTGACAAAACCCCAGGTCGTGAGCACAGTTTTAGCTGCAGTACAGCGTTTTAACCACTGCGGCACTTCAAGAAGGATGCTAACAAACTGGAACAAGTTTAGAAGAGGACAACAAGGATGATTGGGGGGGTGGTGGTGGTGGAAACCAAGCCTTCTGATGAAGGGTTGAAAGAACTGGACATATTTAGCCTCGAGAAAAGAAGGCTGAGGGGAGATAGGATAGCCCTTTTCAAATACCGTATTTAAAAGGCTGTCCTCCAGAGGAGGGGCAGAATCTGTCCTCCATCATCCCAGAGTGCAGGACATGCAACAACGGGCTCAAGTTAAAGGAAGCCAGATTCAGGGCAAATATCAGGAAAAACTTCCCAACTGTTGGAGCAGTACGACAATGGAACCATTTACTTTGGGAGGTGGTGAGCACTCCCACACCAGAGGCATTCAAGAGAAATTTAGACATCCCCCCCATCAAATCTGCTTTGATTTGGATTCCTGCTTTGAGCAGGAGGTTGGATTCAATGGCCTTAGAGGCCCCTTCCGACTTCATTATTTTATGAGTCTAAGACGTGCACCGACTTAAGATACTGTAGTTAGAAAGCCAAAAGTTCAACAAGAAAGAGATATACAACGCTCACCCTTAAAAGGTGCTTCTCCATCAGTCAGCCAATAGCCAACGGTCTGTCTAAATAAGAATGCCTTTGCCTGCCAGCAGAAGGACAGGGGGGAAGGTGTCAGCCACGGTTCCTGTGGCAGGGAGTTCCACAGCCTTCAAACAGCCAACAAGACGAGCCTCTATTCTTAGCCCACCAAGGATGGCAAAAGAAGTGGTAGGACAGAAAAAGGTATTTCTGGGGGGGCTGAGATCAGTCCCAAAGCTGTCTAGTCCTCACCAGCACTTCAGATTTTCACAAAGGGACTGGCTGGCTGGAACTGATCCTTCCGCTAGTGAGTTATGCACGCTCTACCTGAGCTTTCCAGCATCCTCCTCCCACCTGCCCCTCCTTTACCTGTGACTAACTCGCTTGGAATCTGACGCACGCCGAGAGTGAGCCCAGTTCTCTCACCCTGCTGGGAGACCGACTTTTCCTCTCCAGCTGCCTGGAAGATTTGTGGTCGGGCTTTAAACCGAGCTTGTTCAGGCTGTTTTCAGCTGAGAAATTCCCGCTTTTTCATGGGGATCAGACCCAAAGGGGTCCCTCCTGGCACCACAAGCTGATGACTCTACCTCCTCATAGAATGTAGCACTTGTGGAACTCACTGCCAAAAGAAGTAGCGACCGCCACGAGCATGGATTACCATAGAAAGGATGAGACAAAATCCAGAGGCGCTGGGTCTCTTAGGCAGCTAAAATAATACCCCTTTTCCCAGAACTGTATCACCCCAGCCCCTCTGGAACAATACAGTCCTATAGGCATCTACTCATGCGTAAGGCACAGACGTTCATTTGAGCTTGCAGCACCAGCCTGTGTAGGTGTGTAAGATCTCAAATGAAATCTGAATTTCCCCGTCATCAGCGACACACAACAGATCCAATCCAGCGATTCCTTATTTCGGCTACCCAGCCCTTACGGCTCTTGAGTCTGTCTAAGACCAGAGGTTTGACTTTACACAAGACCTTTCTGAAACAGAAAAGAGAGGAACCCAGGAAATAAGGCTGACGGCTTCCTGCCTCCTTCCAAGGAGGCCCCTGCTTTCTACAGCACGCCCACGGCCCAGCTGCAAAACCACTCTGTACATGCTCCAGCGCCCTGTTCCTACAAGACGCAGCCCGGCCGAACCTCGGCTGGAATCCGGGTTAGCCTTCAAGGGAGCGGAAAAACCGACGTCAGCGGTACCCGGTTGGTCTCGCCCTCGAGGGAAGGGCCGAGAAGCACATCGGAGGTCAAATGCTTCCTGGCTGGAAGTGAAAAGCGGATGGGGAAGCCTTACCTGATGGCCAAAGGGGCATCGCTTGTGTTATCCCCGCCAGAGGTTCAGAGCTGTTCTGGCAGCTGTTCCAAAGGGCTGCCGAGGCCACTCCCTGGTTCCCTCCCACAGCTGAAGTTCCCTTCCTTGTACAGTGCACAGATTCAGACCTGTTTCCTGGATGACACATATACATTGCACATGCACACAAACACACACACAGAGGATGAGATCAGGGGTTGCTGTGAAGTCACCTTCCTGCGCGCAGCGTCACCTGCCACATCTAGATGTTCTCGGAAAAGGGTCCGCAGCACCAGAAACCCTGGGAAAACACCGTCCAAACTCTTTCAGGGGGCTGTCCAGCTGTTTCAAAACAGCTGCCTCAGCAGCTGAGCTCAGCAACATTCTCTGGCCGCCTTCCAAGCAAATCCCGGCCAGCTTGGCGAGGGGATGCTGGGAACCGGAGTCCAAGACAGAGGACAGTCTCCAAGTGCCAGCGAACCGCAACTGAGAAGTTCCTTTCGAAACCAAGGAGCAGGAAGGGGAGGCTCTGGCGCCCAGCCCCTGAAGGACAGCGGATCGAGAAGTTCCACGTTGTCCCCTGGGGGACGGGATTCGAGATAGTGGTTTATGTCGCAAGACGACTCATTGTGGACAGAAAAGGCAGCTGGGGGTGGGAAATGGGGGAGAATCTCCCCTTGCTCTTATCAAGAGCCACCCGTGATGTGTGGTTTTAATCACCACGTTGATTAGTTAAACACTGCCGAGATATTTGCATCACTAACAGATAATAATAATAATAACCGTCAAACTATAAAGCTGAAAGGGGAGCCCAGCTCCTCTTAAGGAGGCCCCCCGGGGAATCGAACTCCTAACCTCTGACTTTAGAGGCGTTAACCACTGAGCTATCCGTACAAATAAATGATTAGTGCATTTATTTTGTCTGTAGTTAACCCCCTCCGTTAAACCACACCTAAAGCGGCTACATTAAAATAAGATTCTGTTGCATCTGGTGACCTGGATTTTTAACCAAAAGCCAACAAAAATGTGCTAGGTGCTCACTGAAAAAAAAATATTCTTGTTCTTTGGTCTGAGAAAAGTAGGGGAAGCATGAGGGCTTGATCTCTGGCTTTCAAAATATATGGAAAAATTACTTTTGAAGATTGCATGTCGTAAATTCCACCAACTAGCCAGGCCAGCTAGTTGGGAAAAAGGGGGGATCCTGTTGGAGAGTTTTTAATTTCTGGTTAAAACTCCTTATGCTATACAGTAGAAAGGCAAAGACTCTTGGAAGAGAATAGCTTCAAGATCCCCAAAGTCCACCCCTTGATCATCAACTGGCACTTAGAAGTCTCATTAACTCACTCTGAGACATTTGTAGGAGAAAGATTTTTTTTTAAAAAAATTGCTTATGCTTATAAACAGATCAAAACCGCAAAGCAAATGACAAACATGGATTGAGTTGCAACAGACCAAAGAGAGAGAAAAGGAGACCCTCGGCAGAGAGGCGGGTCTTCTCTTGAATGCAGAGGTGAAATAGTACGATTGGTTAGCGTTGGATGGATTGACATATTAAGACCCCTCCCATTCACTTTAAACCAAGGGCAGCACACAAGGCTGTAAAAGACTCCCAACAGGTTCTAGGAACTGTAGGAGCCCGGTTGGCCAGCAGCCATGCTGACTAAAGGATTCTGGGATCTGTAGTCCACAGAAGGAACTTTTCTAACCTCTGAGCAGCTTTTGATGAATCCATCCACAGAGCAAGCCCCTTCCGACGGCCGCTACCTCTACCCCTTTAGCTCATCAGCTCTGTTCTTCCCTTGACAGCAGCCTCTTAAGGCAGCACCAGACATAAAATCACAACAGCTCAGTACGGGAGCGCTGCAGGGGTGTTGGCAAGTCTTTGGATTCCCACGTTCGAGTCTTTGATACCAAGGCATGAGTTTAAATCCACTCAAGTCCCCCTCCCAGGAGCGCTGAAATGAACCCTGAGGTCATTCAGTCCAGCCCTGCCCCAGTCTGCGCGCGCGCGCGCGCGCGCACACACACACACACACACCCTGCGCACAACTAAAAACCCTCGGCACTTTCCTGGTTGCAACCATGGATTCCCACGTTCGAGTCTTTGATACCAAGGCATGAGTTTAAATCCACTCAAGTCCCCCTCCCAGGAGCGCTGAAATGAACCCTGAGGTCATTCAGTCCAGCCCTGCCCCAGTCTGCGCGCGCGCGCGCGCGCGCACACACACACACACACACCCTGCGCACAACTAAAAACCCTCGGCACTTTCCTGGTTGCAACCAGAGTGCCTTACACACACACACACACACACACACTGCGCACAACTAAAAATCCTCGGCACTTTCCTGGTTGCAACCGGAGTGCCTTTTCCTGGGAAATGCTCGGGATTGGAATCCAGAACCTGGCTGTCTTCAAGGCACAAGAAAACCATAGCAGGGTGTCCTCCCCAGGAAAGGCGTGCCTTCCCCATGCTCTTTTCTCTTTCAGGCCACCCGTGATGCCAGTCTCCTTTTGACCAAAAGGCTGCCCTGTGTGGGGAGTGCCGGCCAAATCCTGCTATCATCGGCCAAAGGACGTCAACCCGTCTCTCAGCCCTCACGGCCCTTGGGCTTACCCGTTATCTCTGCTAGGAATGCTGTGCGACCAGAACATCCCAGGGCCTGCCGTTGAGAAGGACACGGAGGGAGACAGAACAAAAAGCCCTTTCTAGAGCAGTGGCCCTCCGGCCCGCTTTAAGCTTGGCTGTCTCGCACCAGTGACCGGGGACAAAGAGTTCTTGTACAGAACTGACCGGCTAGAGATGAAGGAACGTAGGAGCAAGATTGGGGGAGGGGTTTGGAGGGAGTCACAATATAAATCTCTCCCTTGTTTTATTCCCGGGCACTAGAGCAAGAAATGGCAAACATTTTTCCCTTTGTCTTTGAGTGATTTTCCCCCCCCGCCTCCTGGTATCAGTAAAAATTCTTGCATCTGCCAGAATGATTTTTTTCCCCCAGCAAATGGCATCAAATTGTTTAAAATGTGCAATTTACACACATTTTTGGAAGGCTTGCCTTTTGCAGAAAACTGCAATCGCTGCTGCTTTCTTGAAGGGGCTTTTTAAGAATCAGAAGCACCGAATGGGTTCTTTGTATGTTTCCTCATCATCTGGCCAGTCCTTCTGCGCTTTCTCCCTTCACCAAGGGAGAAGAGTTGAGTTGTGTGTAGAGGTACTTTGCACAAATTATGGAAGCTTCAGTGAGGGGGAGAAAAAGCTCATTGCAGTACAGAGATCCACAGAGGAGAATAGTTTTAAGTTCCCTAGAGTCCACCCCTTCGTCGTTAACTAGCACAAAAATCTCAGTAACTCACTCTGAGACATTTGTAAGAGAAAGAATAAGTAAAACATTACTTGCAGTTGCTTGCATTTAAGACTTCCGCACACTGCTTTCTTTACTGCACACATATTTGACACTGAGACATTTGTAGGAGAAAGAATAAGTAAAACATTATTTCCAGTTGCTTGGAATTAGACTTCCGCACATTGCTTTCTTTACTGCACACATACTTAGCAACCAATCAAACAGATCAACAGCAAACAAACAATGGCCGCGAACAGATCAACAGCAAACAAACGACAGCCGCCAACCCAGGAAAGAGAAGGAAAAAGCACTTAGCAAAGAGATGGGGCTCTCTTTGAATTCAAGGGCTAGAAGGAGCTATTGGTTAGTGCTGGATAGACAATCCCCTCCCAGCCACACAAACGACAGGCAGCACGAACTGTTGCAAATACAATTCCAACAGATTATTAGGCAAGTTCTTTCTTCCCACTGATTCAAGCTGTCTCGACTCTAACGGACACTTTAACAAGGAACTATCAAGTCCTGCAATATCCGGCCCTTCCCCCCCTCCCCAGCATGAGCACAAGAGGAGCACAATGCTTTTTCTCATCAAAGTCTCTGCAAATTTGCACAAATTCGCTGTGCAAAACTAGTGCCTTGAACATACACTGAGAGCAAGCATTAAACAACAGCCAGGAAGTTTAAGAAGATACGCCCACGCCATGATTCTACTTCTGAGAAGCCCATCTAAGGCAATACACGATCCATTGTACAGCCTGCATTATTTGCATTCAAGCCTTGTGTTCTGTGTGCAAATCTGTGCATGAGAACGTGTTACTATTTTCAAGCACCACAGGATACCTTGACCTCTGGGAGAGTAAAGAGGTGAATTGTGCAATTCTCTGTCCTCCCAGGAATGGGACGAGTAAGGGCTTACGCCAGACCAACACCCCACATCCTCTTAGGTCTACAGTCACCCAGCAAGACGCGTGGGTGCGGAAGCCTTCTTCACACCGGTCTCTTGCTTTAACATCATGGTGGCCCAGACCGACCCAAATGGGACCTTTATGAGACTCTCTGGCTTGTCTGATGCACCCTTTTGCCCGTCTTCCCTGCACACGCTTCTTAAGTCTTTACCAAATATATTACTTAAGCTGTTCTCTACTGCTATTATTTCCACCACTACCAGACCCATCTCTCCTCACAAGACTCAAAGGTAAAAACTGCCAATATTCCCTATATGAACACATGCGGTTCCCCTGCTGTCTTCTTTTACTTTTATGTGTCTTTCTCCCCCTTACCTTGATTTTTTAAATGGACATCTTTATTCCTGTCAGCCTCCATCAACCCAATTCACCCCACCTCCTCTTTTTTTGCTCTTCCCTGGTTATCTGTTTTCTGTCTCCTGCAGGAATGTTTACAGTGGAACCTAACCCCAAACATAGGCCATCAATGACGGCATGGGAGATGGAACCACACCCCCAAGACTTTTAAAGCCCATTAAGGCTTTCCATGTTTTACTTGTGAATTCGACATTTCATTCTGCATTTCCTTTTATGCCCTATATCCGAAAAAGCGGGCGTGATCCACAAAAGGGCGCATTAAAATATAATAGTCTTGGAGGGGCCACATCTTTTTGTCTTGTCTTGTCTTGTTGTTTTCCTTTGGATTTTGCCTGATCAGATCCACAAAAGGGCGCATTAAAATATAATCGTCTTGGAGGGGCCACATATTTTTGTCTTGTTTTGTTTTGTTTTCCTTTGGATTTTGCCTGATCGGCTACACGGGCCGCCCATGGACTTCCTCCTGGCCTTGCAGAAGCAACGGTGCGTGGCCACAAAACCGCTGAAGAAACAATTGCAGGGGTCATTGAACAAGAAAAGCTATGTAATTTGAGAGAATGACCTTGGGAATTAAATGTAGCTCATTTATCTCAAGTAACCCTCCTGGTCTGTTCAACGGAAGAAGAAGCAGACTGGGAGTCATAGAACGGTGGAGCCAGAAGTGAACCCGAGGGTCATCAGCCGCACGAACCCTCCCCCAGCTGAAGCAGAAAACCCACAACCCCATCATCCTGAAGGTATTAGCTATCCCATCTCCAAGAAAGGAGAGTCCACCCTCCTCTGAGGCGGTCTGTTCCATGGTCAAACAGCTCTCCTGATCAAGAAACTCTCCCAAATGTTTAGGCCAAATTGGGCCTGTTATGTGCTGTCAAGTCGGCTCCGATGTATGGCCACCCCACGGTGCAGCACTGTTCTCCAAAATGCACTGTTGTCAACAGCCCTGCCCAGCTCTCGTAAATACAAACCTGGGGCTTCCTTTGTGAATGGTTAATAATCCAACATTGGAGTAAAGCTGAAAAAGAACACTAAAAGAATCGCAGGGCCAAAATGCACGTCAAACACCATTCCTGATGCATTTAAAGTCCACAGAAGGAATAGACTGGCATGACTAAACTCAATTGTCCATGAACCAGAAGAACTGTGGATTGAAACCAGAGATATTATTAAGAAAGAATGCAAAAAGACAATTCCTATTGTCTGGGGGTACAGGGAAAAAAGTTTTTCCCCTGTTTCACCTTACAGCCCATTAAGTATTTGACGACAACTATCCTGTCACCTCTTAGTCCCCTCTTCCTCTCCAGACTCATCATAGGAGCATAGAATAATGAAGTTGGAAAGGGCTTATGAAACCATTGAGTCCAACTCCCTGCTCAATGCAAGAATATGAATCAAAAGATATGTGCCAGGTTATTGCCAAAATTTCTCTTGAATGCTTCCAGCACTGGGGCACTCACTGCTTCTCAAGTTCTGTTTTCGTACTGCTCTTGCAGTTAGGAAGTTTTTTCCTGAGATTCAACCCAAATCTGGTTTCCTCTGAACTTGAGCCTGTTATTGCATGTCCTGCACTCTGGGTTGATCAAGAATGGGTCCATGCCTTTAGCTCTTTGCAGTGTCCCTCCCCAGACCTTCTGCCCTCTTGGCTGACCTTCTTTGGACATATGCCAGGCTGACAACATCCTTCTTAAACTGGGGTGCCCACTGAGGCCTCACCAGCGGAAAACAGACTGTTGCCAATACTTCCCTCGAGCAAGACACTAGATTTCTGTTGATGCCGCCTCGGATCACACAAGACACACTCCACATCAGAGAAAGCATGCCGGATCTATGCGTATAGATCTAAGCTAGCAAGTTTTGACCAAAGTAAAACAACGGGAGTTTTTTAAAGGGAGAGGAAACTCATCCACCAACAAAATAATACTCCAGCCATTGTATCAGACCACTCTGCTTGCACAATTTTCTTTCCAGAAAAGCCATTTCTTGTACTACAACTCCCAGGAACACCCACACACACTTTGGAGGATTCTGGGCACTGTAGTACAAAAAAGGGGCTTCCCTGAGCTCTGGTTTGTGGGAGATGCCAATCTGGGTCCCTGAAGTCGAGGGGAATGGGATAAAAAAAAACCAGCTAATATTAAATTTTCGGAAAGCAACATCCACTACTTACCCACTCACACAGACGACAACGATGGCTTGAACATTTGTAAAGCAAATGAATCAATCAGTCGCCACTTAACCTTCCCCCAGAAGGTTTCTCATTTTTCTGAGAACCGCCACCAACAAAGCAACTCAGAAGGAAGCCCGACAGTGTTTGCTCTCATGCTCCTCCGTGCGCAACCCTCCTGCGCACTGTTGTGCCCAGCTCACATGCTTCCCTTCCCTCCCATGTTTCCAGGCTCAAAAGTTGTTGACGGAAACCCTTTCGGTCCAACCCGCCCTTTGGCTGTTCTTGGTTTCGAAGACCTGGCTGGGTGCAAGCTGTGGGAGAAACAGAGGCACATCCCTCTTGGTCTCCCGTGATGCGCCGCGGCCTCATTCCTGCACGGTGCGCATGGAAACTGCTTGGACGGCGGCCAAGCCAGCCAGCCATTTGGCTGCCGGCCACATGCGCCCTTCAGGCGTTGCAATGAAGGGAAATTTTTTTATTTTATTTTTTAAAGTCGGGCTAATTCATCAAGATGACAACCCTCGATGAAACTAGGAAGCAGGACTACCGGACCTAACCGACATGCACCCCGCGCTCCGGAAGAGGAGAATCAGGACCCTGCCCCAAACGGCTTGCAGTCCACATGGAGACACATGGAGGGAGGAAAATGGCATTGCTGAGGTGGAGGCAGGATAAATGAGGCTTACACCCACACCTATTATGTTTTTTAATGACCACAACACTTATTTTTATGTGCCGTCATGTTGCCTCCGACTTCCATATGGCGACCTCTTGAAGGAGCAGCCTCCAAAATTTCCAACCCTCCACAGCCCTGCTCAACTCTTGCAAACTCAACCTTGTGGCTTCCTTTAGGGAGGCCGTCCATCTCCTATCTGGGTCTTCCTCATTTCCTGTTGCTTTCCACTCTTCCAAGCCTGAATCAGGTTTACAGGGAAGCTGGAAGGGCCCAAAGCAGGGCAGCCTCGGTTTTAAGACTTTTTGCCTCCAGAGAGAGAGAGTTTGGGCTTGATTTGATCTTTCCCATCTCTCCAGGGTATCCGTAAAGCTCTCCTTCGGCACCCTGTTTCAAGCGACCCATCGCTGCTAACAAACCCGGGTTTAAGCCCTCTGGTTACAACTCATGTGCAAGCCCCTCTTCTCCCATCCATGCCACCAGGAGGAAGTTGCCTGTCCAGCTAAAAAGATGAGCCATCTGCCAGAAAGGAAACTTGGCTTGGCTTCTCATGGCCCTCCGAGGATCACCCTCCGGGGAGCAGCCGTCTCTCCTCTCTTAGCAACGTCCTCTCCATCAGAGCCCAGGAGCAATTTCTCCATCCGTCCCTGGCTGCTCCCCAGACCTGAGCTGTCTGTAAACGAAGCCGGCCTAATGAATTAATGAAGGGCTCCCAGAAGAGGGAGAATGAGAGAGAAGCCCTCGGAAAGCTAAAGAGGAGGAGAGCGGCCATCCGCCCGCTGATGTGGGCAGGGCGGGGGTGGCCGGCACAGAGCACCGTGGCCATCCATCAGCGCACCCTTCCCTGGATCCAGCTGGCGCAGAGAGAGAGAGAGAGACAGAGGGGCGCACCGGAGAGAGGAGAAGGAAGATGGCGTGGGACCAAAGCGCTCGCCATCCTCTGTGCCAGTTCGGGAATTCGCCTTCCTTGCTCCTGTGTTACTCCAGGACTGCTTTGAGCCAGCTGGTCCAGGTAAGGAAGGGAGGGGGGGACTGAGAGAAAGAGAGGCAGACCGACAGATCTAGAAGATGATGGAGAGGATGAGTCTGTAATGGGGGGGAGGAAAGATGGTTATCAAGGTGAAGATAGGCTCCGTGGCCCATTCGTGACCACCCGGCAGCCTCCTTCGGCCATTCGCATCAGCCTGGCGGGCCAACGGGATGGACTGCCGTAGCCAGAATGGCACTGCTTCTTCGCACATGGGATTCTGGAGGTGGGAGTGACACCTGTCTGTGGTCCAGAAACTCAAGTTCCCAGCTCTCAGGGCTGAATTGCAGCAGCAAGCAGGGCCAACATTGCAGGGCTAAAGGAATCCTACCCAATTCCAGTCAAACCAGACTCCAGAAAAGGTCCTGCCATGGACGGCCTTCTTCAGCTTGGAGAGATTAGAATTGATGGCTTCTTTCACCGAGTTGAACCATCACACATCGGCTCTTCCTCTTTTCCTGCTTCATTCCTTTTCCCCCGGCATTCTTTTCTGAAGGTGAGAGGCCACTTCAGATATGTCTAGGGTGGCTCAGCTGGAGGAGGGGGGTAAGATTCAGCTCGGCCCAGGAGCTTCTGAAATGAGAGAGAGACCCCTTTCCTGCTCCCCCCCTTCTACCGTTTTTCTTCGGAAGAAGGAGAAACCGAGAAAGGGTGAGCAGTCATATTTCCTTTCCACCTTCGGCGCTGTTACCTGCCAGACCTCCACCGCAGAAACTCGAACCCAACCGTCCTCGGGGATCAAATCTCACCGAGGTCCATGGGGCTTCTTTCCACACCGACATGTCAAGGAAGGAACCCCACGGCAAGGGGGCAGCCCCTGCCCCCCATAAGGCTGGCTTTGCACCCCACGGCACTCCACTGGATTGGACCCAGAACGCATTACGACCAAGGGGGATGGGGCGAAGGAGCAGACCGAAGCAAAAGGGAGAAACGAGTTTAGTCCAGAAAAGCAACTTTGCTAAGTTCTAGGTGTCTCGCTAAAACGCTGGCCAGAGTCCTTAAAACAGAGTGATTTTTCAGAGTTCTGGTTTCGCACGAGTCCACCACACGTAGAGGGCTCCAGGTGGCCCAGAAGACTCATTTGCGGGCCACTGGGTCTCACCACCAAAGTCATGGCCCAGCTGAACAAGAGAACAGGTTTCACGCATCTTTCCTAGCTGCGTTGTGGTTATCGTGTGTTATCGAGTCACTTGCAGCTTAGGGTGACCGTGTGAATGAGCAGTCTTCTCCTCCGCTGCCCTGCTCAACTCTTGCAAACTCAAGCCTGGGGTTTCCTTTAAGGAGTTGGTCAATCTCGTGTTTGGCCTTTCCTCTCCTCCTTCTGCCTTCCCAGCGTCAGGGTCTTTCCCCTCTGAAATATCGTCTTCTAAGCCATGATGAAAGGAACAGGAATCCTCTCCTCTTCTCTCCCCCCCCGGTCTGGTCACCCTAGACCACCCCAAAATGATCGGGGGTGTGTGCGCCGGCAAAAGAAGACCGGCGGGGCTTCATAGCGGAGATGGTTTCACTATGTGGAGCTGCTGAATTTCCGAGCCGCGGAAATGTCTACATAGCTGTGAAAGGTGCAGCTGGGCCAGCCTGCGCCAAAACATTTTTGCAAGGATTTTTTTTTCAGGCTAAAAAGAAAAAAACCTTCATTTTGCTGGGAGCCCTTCCTTCAGCTGAATCCAGCTAGGATTTCATCTCTCCCTTGTAGACGTAGGCAACCCAATTATTTCCGAAGTAAGTCTCCGCAGGGCTGTGTTCCTCCAGGAGATTTAAGTTTTCACCGGTCCAGGGAGATCCTCGTATAAACACCCCTGTTCTGTTTTGTTTTTTTTAATTGCACGTTGATCCAGCCTGCCCACAATTAAAACATGCAGTCCCATTTCATGCACCGTTAGGAACTAAGATGGATCCCTGGGGAGAGCTTCTGGATGTTATCCGTCCTCGCGCCGTGTTGCCGACTATTTATTAAGAAGAGCAACGTGGAATAAAACGGCAACCACAATGTTTTCACCAAGGGGTGCTGACGATTCAATTAAAACAGGGTGTTTAGCTCACTGGCATCTTGGCAAGAAAGGAGATTGTTGGCACAGAGGCAGTGAAGTATAATGGTTAGAGGGCTAGGTGTTTGAAAGACATGGGCTCCTTGGATTGCAGAGGGCCTTTTTTCCCCACCCACCCCAGGGGAAGAACAGGAACTAGCCAGCAGGGTTGTGCCCATTAATTGCTTTGTGGAGTGAAGCCTAGAGACACCCACACTCGTTTGTGTTCTCTCTCTCTCTCTCTCTCTCTCTGTCTCTCTCTTACCTTTCCCTCACCTCGCACAGGGTCTCTCTCTCTCTTACCTTTCCCTCACCTGGAACAGGGCCTTTTTTTCCAGGCTGTTTGGTGGCCTCGGACCTCCTGTTGTTAACGTACCAAAAGGAAATTGACACCACCACCACCCTCCAGTGTTTTTGAGAGGTCTAGGTCTTCATGGGAGGTGTAGTTCTCTGGGAGGTGCCTCCTGTAGAGCCTAACAGGTAGTGAGACTACATCTCCCAAAAACCCTAGGTTTCCCAGGAAGGAAGAGCCCCCCCCCTTCAATTCCTTTCTTTAAGTTAACAACAATAAGCTGGAAGTCGCCAAGCAAGCTGGAAGACAAGCCCTGGTTCAGGCGAGTGAAAATTAGGGGTCTTGGGTGTGTGTTTTGGGGGTGGAACTCCCAGAATTTGGCCTGCCTACCCTATGGCTAGAGACTCAGTGTAATAAAATCAGGAATAAAACTATAGTCCAGTAAGTAAGAGGCTCTTAACCTTGCCAGAAAGGACGAATCACAGCCTCCCGGAAACAGTTTCATTGGAAGTACCACCTTAGAGAAATCTTCCTCCTTCCAGACGCTAGGCTTCCCAGTTCAAAAGCCACAAAGGCAGATAACGCTTAGCCTCTAAGATTTATTAGTAAAAATGAAGTTTTGTTGCTGGAGTTATTGCAAACCTGCATGCTGCCTTCTAGTAGACGGGGTGACTGTCAATCAATACAGTACCAGCCAAACATTCCTTCCCTGCCTCTGATTTCAAAGAGAGCCCCACCTCTCTGCTTTTGAGCTCTTTCCCTCTGTGTTGTCTGCTGGCAGTTAGTAGTTAGTTGGGAGCAGTAAGTCTGTCGAGGGCTGTTGCTTAAAGCAGCCGGGTTTGTTAGCTTTGCTGTGATCAGTTCACTGTAAGTAAAGAAACCTTTTATTCTTTCTCCTTTTTATGTCTCAGAGTCTGTTACTGAGAGTGTAAGTGCTAGTTGATGAGATAACAAGGGGTGGTCTGCTTTGGGAAGGCCAGAAGCGAATTTTGCTCTGCGGATCCCTGCGCAGCTAGAGGAATTTCACCATCATTCAAAACTTTGGAAGGAAGGAAGGAAGGAAGAGAGAGAGAGAGAGAGAAAGCAATTAAAACTGTGGAACTTTAAAGACTAATGGATTTATTCCAGTTTGAACTTTTGGGACTCAGATTCCACAAAGACTACAAACACCTGTAATCACCTAGACATGCATGTCTAGGATACACACAACAGGCAAAGTGACAAGGGTTCACTGTGTTAATGAGCTATTTATCTGCAATCCTTGTTTCTGAAAAGGTGGATTTTGTTTTGCAACAACTCCCAGTGAAATAAATCTCTTTGTCTTTAAAGGATCGATGAGCTACTTATCTGCAATCCTTGTTTCTGAACAGGTGGATTTTGTTTTGCAACAATTCCCAGTGAAAAAAATCTATTTGTCTTTAAAGCATCACAATATTTTCCTTCCTTCCTTCCTTCCTTCCTTCCTTCCTCTATCTCTTTTTCCTTCTTCTTCTTCCCTTGCTTTTAATTTGGCCGGCATGCTCAGACTGACTCGCACCGCCCCTTCTACGTAAACTGCTAAGAGTTGGAAACCGAGGCTTGGGATTGCCAACTGACTAGGAAAGCTGCTCTTCTGTCTCCAGCAGGCCTGGCGAGGGGACACCTGGAAGATGCAGGAGAGGCTGTTAATTGTAGGAAAGATCATGTTGGCCTTAAAGGCATAGCTGCCAAGGAGAGGTCCCGGGGTTGGCCGTGTCTGGGTGCCCTACACCACCTTGGCAAAGGGGGTCTATCCTTTCACAAATTCAGAGACGGACTGGGGGGAGGGGGGACATTTCAGCCCCCACCGTGGGGAAGTAAAATTGGCACGCCTTTCCAGGCATGGATGCTGTGCATCTGTATCGCCATCCTTTCAGAATGGCGAAAGGGAGACAGACAGAAATATAATCCTCTGAAAATGGATTGCTGGTGGAACCTGGCCGGAGAAGGAAAAGCCATCTGTCTGCAAAATGAATTAGGAGCCGAGAACCGGCAGGAACCAAAATAGGGCTTCTGTTATTGGAGTTTTTTGCAACCTCGCAGGCTGCCTTTAGCACGTTTGGCTGGGCGGAACCTTTGTGGGCTGGGGTGGCTGTCAATCTATCCAGCCCTACCCAATTGTTCCTTCCCTGCCTCTGAATTCGAAGCGAGCCCCGCCTCTCTGCTCTGTGTATTTTCCTCTCTGTTGAAAGCAGTCAGTATGTTGAAGTCTGTTGCTCAAAGCGGTCACGTTTTGTCAGTTTCTTCTTTGACCTGTTCCACTGTCAGCCATGAAACTTTTTATTCTTTCTTCCGACGCACATCTCAGAGTGAGTGACTGAGACTGTAAGTGCCAGTTAATGAGACAAAGGGGTGGTCGGCTCCGGGGAACTTGACGCTATTCTGCTCTGTAAATCCCTGCATCACTGCTGCGCAGCTAGAAGAATTTAACCAAAAATTCAAAACTACGTACCTTCTGTTGCCTGGAGATGCTTGTATAAAGTCGATGGGCAGCTTTGGGTCTGTACACAAGACAATTCCCTGGAAAGTCATTAAATCCCCAGAGGAATATCGTGGGTGAAGTGACGGACGAGGACTCAGGAGGTCTGGTTTCAAATCCCAGCTCAGCCATGGAAACTCACTGGGAGAAGGGGACCTACT